AAAATTTTGTAATGAATTTCTAGGTGGGGTGAGTATACTCACTAATCCTCCACAATGGTCAACAGGAAAGTCCTATGGTTGTATCCTAAGTTCTAGGAGAAAGAAGTTAGATCTCACAAAAAATGAGGTCAACACTGACATGTTGTGGATGCGGTACTATGAAGGCAAGCCTTGACGTCGACTCACCTCAGCAAGCCTCCACCTCGACTCCCAACATATTAGTACTGCCTTGAGTCACGACTACCACACCAGCATTTCCATCTGTCGCGATTACCATGCCAACATCATCGCCATACGTGATTACCACGCTGGCATCGCCGGCAGTCGCAACTATCATAAGAGTATTGCCACCTGTCACGACTAACAGATCATCACAACCACCAGCCGTGACTAACACACCAGCACCGTCGCCTGCAGTTGTTATTGATGTTTCATCTAGTTCGAGTAGCACAAGCAGCAGTCATTAGCTCCAGGCTGTGGAAAACACATATGTTTTTTTAGATATTGAAATTATCGTTTTATGTTTTTCTTAAAATTTAATAGAAAGCTAATAATATGTTATTTAAAATTAATAGAAAGCTAATATATAGATATATATATATATATATATACATACATATATATATAGATACATACATATATACATACACACACACATACATATATACATACACACACACATACATATATACATACACACACACATATATATATACATACACACACATATATATATATATATATATACAGCAACACATATGTTAGTCAAGAAAGTACATTAGAGAGTCCTTAGTGTTATTAGATTTATATGCAAAATGATGGCTCAAATTCAAGCTATAAATGAAAAAATTTATGAATAAAATTAGAAAATATTAAAAAAAATATTCTATCATGAAGTTTTCATTAAATGTTGTCAAACTAATATAATAATATTGGATCAAATTAAGTAAATGTAATAAATTTATAATCTTGGAACTTTACTATGCTTTGAATTTTTATTTTTACTTCAATTTTTATATGATAAACCTCCAACATATATAAGTTTTTTTATAAATATTTTTAGTTGTTTTAAAGATTATTTAATATTTTAAAAGTTATCTTAAATATATAAATTTATATTTTTCCAAACGTTATATTATAGTTATTGATTGTCAATATTTTTTTTATTTAATTAGATTCATTACACTTTTTAAATTTTATTTGATAGGTTACATGATAATTTTGTATTAAAATTGAATTTATTATGATTTTATAAATATTAGCTGTTTATATTAACATTTGGTTAGTCATTAAGGCTTAATTTGGAGAGTTTTGATTAGTTGTTGGAACTTCTTTAACTAACGGTTTTATAGCCGGTTGGAGAGTATTTAAGGGAGATTATTTATATTTTTAGATGCTATAACTAATAACTAAAAGATATTTTGATGAGTTGGGTATGAGAAAAGGTTGTAAAAGCTTCTTACACTTGTTAGGCCTGTTTTAATTTCTCTCAAATAATTTGAATTCATTCTATAAAAGTTGTTCAAGTAATCATCACATCTATAAGATCACTCTTATAGTTTTTGACATTTTCTCTTATTTACCATATTTTTATTAACATTAGATTGTTGGATCTTAACTTTTTTTCTTTTTTTTGCTTTTTTGCGAAGTCTTAGAAAAATTTGTAAGCAGACTGTTATTTTTGTAAATTTAGTTTTTGTTGCTTTAAATAAAAGCATATATTGTATGGGCTTTTTTGGTCCACGGAAAGGCAAGAATCCTACCATATTAAGATTGAGTTAGTGGAACTTTGATGGTGGTCTAGATGAGGATGAAGGTAGGGGCTGAAACTCTTAGTTTTTTTCTTTTTTTTTAAATGTTGTCTTTTGTTACTTTTTATTACTTATATAATTTTTTTAATCTACTTTTCCTCTTAAAATTTAAAATTTAAAATTTTAATTATATATTCATTTTACTAAGGATATATAATTTTTGAAATAAAAGACATTCTCCCCTTCTTGCTTGTGTCACACACTTCAAACTCCACAAAAAGCTCAAATTTGATGCATTGATTTATCAAAGAATCATTCATTGACTCTGATAACAATACAGTAAAAAATATTGATATGGAAAATGTTGTGAAAAGTTGGCGTCATCAAAGAAAATGTTGAAGCAAAGGATTTCCCCATCAAACTTTTTCTTTTTTCTTATCTCAGGAGGTTTAAAGACTGAATCTAAAGTTGTTACAAGAGAAGAAGAATAAGCATGCCAGTGTGACAAGAAGAGCTGAATAAGCATGCCAGGGAAAACCAGCCGAACAATAATGCTGATTTTATTTCAAATGTTTTTTTCATACATATAGCTTTTGAAATAAGGTGTTATTTGAGTGGGCTATACATCCATCTCTTTTTCAAGATGCAATCAAAGCCATTCTTGTTGTAGTAAGGTACTCGCATCTTATTTGTGGTTGGCCCAACCCAACCTGACAGGCATTTGATGTAGGCCAGTCTGAACCTATTCGGTAACACACCTTGTTTGGCTAGGGGTATGAAAATGTCTCTTCCATTGTGGTTCATCTTGTTGGCAATAAATAATGGGCCTTTGAAAACTAAAAGAACAATCAATTTGATTTCATAGCTATATAGGCCTCGCACTGAATGAGCAAGAGTTTGATTTGCCTTTAGTACAGGTAGATCGAATTGGCAAGGTGCTGAGTGAGACAGACAACAAAGTTTTCCAAAGCAAACCATAATTCAAATGATCATTCTCTTTTATTGTATTCATGGAGACGTGTTTCATTCATCCATAAAGATTTTTCCCACTTTAGGCAACAAAGATTCTCACCAAACTATAAAATATACAAGTTTTGCCAAAATTAAATTCTTAACAAATAATTTATGCTTTGTAAGGAAGAAATTTGGGCAATTATGTCTTCTAAGTAAGAGATGCGCACAATGTAGTTTACAAATTCCTTATTTTCTGTAAACAAAGGATCATCATCATCATTATTATTATTATTATTATTATTATTATTATTATTAGTGTTATTTTTTTTATTATTTTTTCTATGAGACTCAATTGGACAAAATTGAGAAAAGGTTCATGTAGCCCCCGACACTTAGTGGCACAAAGGCTTGTTGTTTTTGTTATTGCTTCCTATAAATCTAATGAGATGCTGGTGCTATTCATTTGACCAAGGACCCTTAAGAAGTTACTTCTCTTCGCTTGACAAAGGAGCACATCAATAATCCATTGGTCTTCCATGCAGTTCTTTCCTTTAAAATTATTTTCCTCAACATATCTCCCATCAATCTCTGCTCAAACTCTTAGTGTTTGTCCACTGCATTCACAAAGATATTAATTGAACTAAATAGTCCTTTGGGTCATTTATTTGCCACCATGCCTATAATATCCTGCGTCTTTTTATTTATTTTTACTTATCATACTATCAATCCTCCACCTTAGAGTAATGTGTTCTTCATTTATGACAATCTTGATAACAGTTGGTCCTGTGGAAGCTTAATGCACTCAACATGTTTACTGCTAAGCATTAAAATTCTAAAAAGAATAAATTATGACATACACTTAGTTGAATTTGATTTTTCTGCATGCGCAGAGTAAAGAAACAACTGTAAATCATAATATATTCTTCTCCATTGGTTCTTTTATCTATAAAGTAAAGTTGCACAGTAAGATTTCCCTTGTTTCATTAAATACAAAAGGCATCAAAGCTGCAATGTGGCGACCATTTTATGTTATACCACATTTGAATTATGTAGTGGAACTTAACTTTTAAACATTCCTAGGGATGGAGAAGCTTGCCTTCCGGCCAGAAGGTTATGACTTTTGGACATGGAGAGGTCACAGGATACACTATGTTGAGCAAGGCCAAGGGCTTCCTATTGTTCTTATCCATGGATTCGGTGCTTCAGCTTTTCACTGGAGGTTTGTTTATGTCTATATAATTGTGTAAAATGTTCATTTCAAGAATAAATTGAAACCACATATGTATGTCTATACTTTTTAATTTTGAATCATTTATACTTAAAATGGACTTCAAGTGCTCTGCGTGAAGATCTATGCTTATATATTAGTTAAATTTAACATGCACCGCATTCTGTCACTATAGTCTGATGTTATTACTCTTCATCATCTGCAATTATTTTACACAGCTGTCTTGCACTTATTTCATGAAGTCTCAACACACGCCTGTGATCAATTTTAACTATTTATACTGCTCATATACTCCATCAGGTCTTTTTGTTCATCTGCATTAAATAGTTTAGGCAATCTAAAATTCCAAGTGACTTGAAGTTCTGCATATTTTTTTTATTTTTCATGTTGTAGGTGTTTATAAATGTATTGTTTAGTCCCTATTTTGAACCATCATATTGTGGCTTTCTTTCTCAAGTTAAATCCAGATATTGTGTTTAGCAACATAAAGTGTTGTTATCCAATTTGTAAATAAAAAAAACATTAGAAATGTGGTTTCAAAATCAGTCCTTTTGACTACTAAGGTTACAAAGTGATATTCTTTGATTGAACTGCAGGTACAACATCCCAGAGCTGGCAAAGAAGTACAAGGTATATGCTTTAGATTTGCTTGGATTTGGATGGAGCGAGAAAGCAATCATTGAATACGATGCAACAATCTGGAGGGACCAGGTGGCTGATTTCATCAAGGATATAGTCAAAGAGCCTGCAATTTTAGTCGGGAATAGGTACCGGCAAACTTCTCATGATTCATTTTCATCATATTTAGCAATAGAATTACGACTATTTTCAGAGTCGAAGTAATGTTTCTCACCCTATTCCCTAGGGTCAATTCCTCGTACGTTGGATAATTGTTCTACACTAACCATATCAGAAAATTTCTGCTCATCATGGAAACAAGTGAACTTACTGAATATTTAAACTGGTAATTGTTTTAATCTAGTGTTATGTAAGTACCATACTTCTAATTTCATCATCTACATAGTAACTATTAATCTTCTGAAAGGATATGCTTATTCTTATTATACTGTCCAACTTTAACTTTCTGTTTTTTTTTTCACAATTTCCTTGACTTTGCAGCTAAACCGTAATTTTCGTAGTAAATCTTTCAGTGAATTTCAAAGTTCTGTGCACTTCTAAACGATTAGTTTTTCATGCATGCCATTTTAAAGGCAAGCAGCCATTTTTATCATTCGCAGTTGATCACTGATGACATATAAATGATCTTCAGTCTTGGAGGATTCACAGCTTTGTTTACAACGGCAGAGTTGCCTCAGCTTGTTCGGGGTTTAGTTCTCCTTAACACTGCTGGCCAATTTGGAGACTCAAACAGAAAGCCAGCAATCAATGATGAAGGGTCAGTCCTATATAAGTATATGGTCAACCCAGTGAAGCAGGTGTTCCAAAGAGTCGCTCTTGGCTTTCTATTTTGGCAATGGAAGCAGCCCGCACGAGTCGAATCAGTGTTGAAAAGTGTACGATACTCAAACTACAATAATTGCTCAAATTGTGTAACAAAGTGGCATGAATTGGTTGTTTTTCTTTTTCAAGATGGTAAATGGCATGAGTTGGTTGATATTTTTTTCAACATGTTATACTTTTCATTTTCATGTTTCCAGACTGCGAGTGGTTCTGATTGGCTCTATTTTTTTCAACATGTTATACTTTTCATTCTAGCTTTTTTGAATTCAACTCCAGCCATCAAAAGTAAATTGTAGAGGATCTATACTCCTTTCCAAGGGTTTCTAAAGTATCCAGAAGTTTCTCGATTTATTGTCCACTGAAATAATTTTTATCTTTATGAAGATAATCATATTTCATCTTGTGAGTCGCTTGCTGCTGCTACTTCATGCGTGTTTTATGATCTGAATGCATCCAGGTCTATATAGATACCTCCAATGTTGATGATTATCTTGTGGAATCCATTGTCAGACCTGCAAGTGATCCCAATGCTGGAGAAGTGTATTATCGGTAATTAAATTACTGAATCATTTTCAGTTTGAAAGGGAATGAAAATATGATATGAAAAAAATGTTTGTTGATTATTGTTGCAGATTGATGACAAGATTTATGATGAATCAAAGCAAATACACACTTGATAGTGTACTGCAGAAGTTGTCATGCCCATTGCTACTGCTATGGGGTGATCTGGACCCCTGGGTTGGGCCTGCTAAAGCCATCAGAATTAAAGAGTTCTATCCAAAAACGAGCATTGTGAACTTGAAGGCAGGCCATTGTCCTCATGATGAGGTGCCTGAGCTTGTCAACAAAGCACTAATGGATTGGATAACTTCTTTGGATCACGAATCCAGCCTTCAAATGGCTCAAACTTGAACAATAGTTGTAGATTTTGCGTTCTTAATTTGCATTGCTGATTCATACTGTAGACCCTGCATTGGATTATTATGAGACTTAATGAACAGTTTGTTATTCTGACATTTTACGTTTACATATCAATTTTATACAATCATTTAGCATTTAAGATTTATGAACATTGACAACATAATATCATCATTTTGATGCTCCGAGAAGCTAGGCTTAGGGTGCGCCTCATGCGGTCGTTTCAGTGACTCATAGTGCTTCCCCCAGGTCAAATTGGTGTCGCCACCTCTCCCGGGACTGGAATGATTATCCCTGCCCGATGGGTCTACATTCATGCCTGAATGTTGTCGGGTACTGTTCACTTTCCCACCATTCTTCTATTTTTTTTTCGTAGAAAGAAGCATCTATCATATTGAGAGAGAGGGGGTTGGACTCGACAACCGCATCGGAAAGTGAGACAACAATGCAATGGATTGAAATGCTTGTATCAACTAGAGTTGAAAGGTAAGCATAGGGGAAGACCTATTTTTTCATTCATCATCAAATCAAAGAGTGGTCTATCCAGACGGTCAAGTCAGGTCGGTTAGGCACAGGCGTAGAAAGTCATCAGGTAGGTAAGCAAGCCTACTGAGGGAACAACAATCTCATACGGGACAGGCCAAGGTTTCCGCCAAGTACGACTAGCAATAAGTGTGAGAAGTTGATCACGTAGGTGAATTCAAAGTAGTAGGCCTTGATAGGCAGGACTATGAGGGTGGTAGCTGGTTTCAGCCTCGGTCGAGTATAATCATTTTGATGAATTTCACATGCCTGGTGTGCTCTGAGAACGAAGTGATGTGGCTCTTTAAAGTACACATAACACTAGGGGAAAATAAGGGATTTGAAAAAAAAAAACTAAAGGTGCCAACATTCAAAATATGATCCCCTTCCTGGCTTAATCTTAGTTCAATTTACACCATCTTGTACATTTCTCTCCATATGCTTACAACTAGGTGAGTAACTGAGCCAAGCTGCCTCATGAGCCAGCTTAGGTTGGCTTGATAAGTGATTTTTGAGCTAAGCTCGATGATCTAACAAGCTATGCTAAAGCTAACCCAATCTCAACTTTTTGGCTCGTAAGTTTGCACGTTTGAAAGATAATTAATATAAATTAATTTAAAATATATTAAAATTTAAGATTTTATCTTTAATTTTTAAACAATAATTCAAAATTGATTTTACGCTATACATGAAATTTTTTTATTATTTATTTTCTAATTGTTCATTGTATTTATTACTTCATGAAAGCACTAGTTTATATTAATATGGTTCTCTCTTTTTGATAATTGCTCAAATTCTTAAAATTAAGCTTGAGCCAAGCTAGAATTGGATTAATTAATCAAACACAAGTTGAGGGTGGCTCAAGTTTGACTCAACTAGTTCACACCTTTATAGCTCAAATTGTCAAACATGCCTTGGTGGACTTATTCATAATATCAAAAGTCAACCAACTTTACTTAAATCATTAATGAAATGTTTTAGAGGTGAGGCAAGGATGTTTCTGTGTAGATTCAGTGATGGTATGCTTTTTTCTTGTTATTATTTTTTAGTATTTTTATAAGAAATAATTCAACTATGTTTTCTTATTTTTTGAATCACAAGACTTCTACCATAAGTGACAATTGTTTTTCAAAACCGACCCACTATCACCTTCCTTAAGAGTAATGAGTGTAACCTGAAATTATTTCATTACCATAGTATTTAGAGTTGCTATTTTATGCATTATGTATTTAGGAACTAGTATGTAGTAAGTATTTTGGAATAGTAAGCCAGATTTATCTTGAACATAATATGTTGTATCTATGAGAGTGTGTATGATTTTTTTTTAAATGAAGTGGTTAGTTTTATTTTTATATTTTAGGTTTGTGCTAACATTAAAGTTTGAACCATGTTTCTTGTGTTATGGGCCATGCTTGGCCTTTATGTTATTGGGTTTGGTAGTGTGTATGATAATTATGATAATGTATGCAATGCATATACTTTAGAAAATTATAATATGGATAGTGATAGATAAAATTTGCCCCTTTTAATGTCAAAGACTTGATTATTGACTGAAGAATCACTTCATTAAAATTTTGATAATTTTGTGCTCTCTTTGATGATGTAAATGTTCTCTTGAGGGTAAGTGATGCATCTTTTGAAGAATTTCGAGAAAGGAAGATTGAAACCACGATGTTGGACTACTTATGGAAGTAATTTTTATTGTCACTGATTATATTAATGGCTAATCTAATTTCTACCTTAAAATTTTTATTTTCATTATGTTTTTGTTGTTTATTTTCTTTGTAATCTCATCATATTTATGTTGTTACTTTTCCTTGTATAAAAGGACAACAATCATCTTCATCTTGCTTATAATCTCGTGTTAACTAACATTAATAAATAATGTTGTTGATTTTATATGCCTAAGAGATTTAGATTATGATGGCCTCAAATACTTGTTGGGACTTGGACTAAGGATTTCATTCAAGCTTGTGCATAAAAATATGGAACTTACTCAAAACTTGCCAAAATTTAGTATGGAGAACCTTGGCCCACAAACACCCATGGAAACCCAAACTCATGCATGGCATCCAAACCCAAATCCAACCTGTGACACATCATTTTTAGCTCATCCAAAACCCTATAAGACCCATCATGACATGGGTAACTCATTGAAAAACCCATGGAGCCATTATATTTGAGTAAGTCCAAGTCATCATGAGGAAAAGAGTACATGGCACATTACTTGGATTCCACCTCATATCCCAGGGTCAAGCCAGCTCACGTCTAAGTTATTTATCCACCTAACCATCTCTCCAATAGGAAGGAAGCCCTACCCTAGCCAACTTTTTCACCATACTTGGACCCATGATGAGCACACCATGGGAAATAGGGGGAAAGACTATCCTTAGCTGAAATTCTATCCCTTGGACTTCCCTGAGCTTCTCTGAGACACCACCCATTTTCTCCAAATGCTACAAATCATATGGGGACGATGAACAATTATAACTCGAACGACTGTATAAGACACATCATGACATGGGGACTCATTGAAAAACCCATAGGCATGTGTCGTGAACCCTAATATTTGGCTCCGGTTTGGACCTTTATGAAGAAATGGTTAAACGAATCTAAAGTAACCGTATAGGTGTAATCTCATAAGCACAATGAATTTTAGGAGCAAAAATTACAAAGTTTGGTGAAAAATCAAGAAAGACCTTGCGGTTTAAACTCGAACGACTGTCACTTAATCATCCTATGGGGACGGTGAACAAATGTCGTACATTGTTGTGTATCGGAAATAGACGGACACAATTTAGTCAAACCGTGAAATCATCCATACAAAAGGCTTTGAACCACATGACACCTCACTCGTCATGTGTAAAGCCTCGCAAATCAAAATCCGTCCCATGGAGCTTCGAGGAAATCTTGGATGACACGGTGCCTAGCTGGATTAATAGGAAAATATGATTTTTTTATTTAAACAAATCTAGAAAATCCCTAAAATCTTTGAAAAATTATAACTTTGCAAAGAAAAATAAAAAATATCTTTAGATTCATCAAGGAGAGGAGAAAATAATAAAAATAAAATTGAAAATTAATAAATTATATTTAATTTTTAATTAATTAATTACTCTAGAGAGTAATTAATTAATTAAAAATTAATTTTAAATCCAAAAATTATAAAATTTTTCAGGGATCAATCCTTCCATCCTTGGGAACATTCCCTGATTTTCCCAAAGTTAGGAAAAATCCCCCCAATGAAATTGGCCAATTTTCACCAAAAATTGTAATTATTTTTAAAAATAATTATTAAAAAATCAAAAAACTGAAACTAGTTAGAAAATCCTTGGAGATTAATCTAATGTCTAAAACCACTTTTCTAATCCTTTTAAAGGTTTAAAATGATAACTAAGATCTTTACAGGTTTAACTTGTAAATTCAAAATTTACAATTTAATCCAAAAATTTAGTTTGCACTATATGACTTAAGATTGATCCAATTTGGACATAAAATTAAGTCAGAGATTAAGTTCAAGTAGTTAGACTTAGTTCAATATTAAAAATTGGATCTAGGTTATCCTAAATCCTGATTAGGTCTAAACCTCATTAGACCTAATCAAATCCTTAAGCCTTAATTACATTAGGCTTAAGTACATCTTAAACCCTGATTAAGTCTAAAACACATTAGTCCTAATCAAATCCTTAAGCCTTACTTGCATTATACTTAAGCAAATCTTAAACTGTGATTAGGCTTAAACCTCATTAGACTAATCAAATCCTTAAACCTTACTTACATTAGGATTAAGTACATCTTAAACCATGATTAGGCTTAAACCCCATCAGACCTAATCAAATTCTTAATCCTTGCTTGCATTAGGCTTAAGTACATCTTAAACCCTGATTAGGTTTAAACCCCATTAGACATAATCAAACCCTTAAGCCTTACTTAAATTAAGCTTAAGTACATGTTAAACCCTAATTAGGTCTAAACCTAATTAGAACTAATTAAACCTTTAAGCCTTACCTAAATTAGACTTAATCAACTTAACCCTAATTAGGTTTAACCCTAATTAGACTTAATTAAACCTTTAAGCCTTACCTAAATTAGGCTTAATTAATCTTAAAACCTTAATTAGGTTTAACTCTAATTAGACCTAATTAACCTTTAAGCTTTACTTAAATTAAGCTTAATTAATCCTAAAACCCTAAATAGGTTTAACCTTAATTCAACATAATTAAAATTTTATGTGTTGCCTAAATTAGGCTTAATTATCCCTTAAACCTTAGTTAGGTGTTATCCTAATTAGACCTGATTAAACCTTTAAGCCTTACCTAAATTAGGCTTAATTAATCTTAAACCCATAATTAGGTATAACCTTAATTTGACCTAATTAAACCTTTAAGCCTTACTTAAATTAGGCTTAATTAATTTGACCAAGTTGTTGACCAAGTTAGCAAATGAGCAGATTTGACCAAGTTGTTGACCAAGTTAGCAAATGAGCAGAACATGGAAGGGTCATTACGGATGGAACAACGACTTCGATGAGGATGGATGCAACAGTCACTATGATGCAAATTGTTCCCAAGGTGAGGGAGCAGCCTATCG